ATTCACAATAAAACTTGCCACAAGTTCGCTTGTAGAGAAAGTCCAAGCTAATTCCTAAAAACGGGGAAAGAAAAGAACGGTTAGTACCGTTCCAAAAGAAAGAATTAACACACCACCCAAAACAAACTTACCATGAGCCCGTTTCGAGAGAAAGGCCAAGCTGATTCCTGAAAAAAAGAGAAAGAAAAAAATGGTTAGTACTATTCCAAAAGAAAGAATTAACACGCCACCCAAAACAAACTTACCACAAGTCCGTTTCGAGAGAAAGGCCAAGTCGATTCCTAAAAAAAAAAAAGAAAAAAAGAACGGTTAGTATCGTTCTAAAAGAAATAATTCACACCTATCATAAAAAACCTACTACGAGAGAGAAAGGCCAAGTCGATTCCTAAAAAGAGAAAGAAAAGAACGGTTAGTACCATTCCAAAAGAAAAAATTAACATACCATCCAAAACAAACTTACCACGAGCCCATTTCGAGAGAAAGCCAAGCCGATTCCTGAAAAAAAAAGAAAGAAAAAAACGGTTAGTACCGTTCCAAAAGAAAGAATTAACACGCCACCCAAAACAAACTTACCACGAGTCCGTTTCGAGAGAAAGGCCAAGTCGATTCCTAAAAAAAAAGAGAAAAAAAGAACAGTTAGTACCGTTCTAAAAGAAATAATTCATACCTATCATAAAAAACCTACTACGAGAGAGAAAGTCTAAGCCGATTCCTAAAAAGAGAAAGAAAAGAACGGTTAGTACCGTTCTAAAAAAAGTAAATTAACCTCATTCGTAAAAGCTTACCTCCGCTTGAAGAGAGAATCAAAGCTGATTTATCTAAAAAGAAAAAATAACGTTAATAAAAAAATTTGATAATATAATTAGTATAAAAAAATTTGTCAATTAAAATATCTATTTTTAAAACTGATCTATTTTTAATACTCAAATCATGCGGATTGTCGATCTGTTTACCTGTGATCAAAAACTTTCAAACCCAATTATCTCAAAATTACGTTTATCTGAGTTTCCTCCCTTTCTATTGCAAAGCTCCCATATGTTGTAATCCTAAATTTAAAATAGACATGATTCTTTTCACTGAATTTTTTCATGAATGGTCAGGTAACATGTATATAGTTATTAAATAATCTAAATTTAATGCTAAAAATGAACTAATAAGTACTAGTTGCATTTTAATGAATTTTACTTGATAGTCTGGTCTACCATCTATATATAGAAACAAATAAAGTTTATTGGCATTTGATTTCTATTTATTATTTTATAAAGCTTTGCAGCATGTTTAGCTGCACTTGATGGTTCAAATATTGGATCCTTTAAGCCTATATTAATATTACTATGATAAAAATATTTATCTATTGATTTTTGTATTTCAGCTTTTATTATGATGCTTGAAATAAGTTCACATTTAGTAAAATTGTGATCAGTAACAGCAAATATTATTTCTTTAGCTATAATTACTAATTTGCCTTATTCTACAATAGCTACTGGATGATTTGGTTCTTCAACTTTGCAATGATATTTGTCATCTAAAAAAATTAAATTTGAATATTCTCTATATTTTATTGCCATTTCTTTTTCATATCAAAATAATGCTGATGTATAGTAAAAAATAGGATAATCAACACATAATTAACATGCTTGAACTATATATTTAATATTAGCTTTTCTGTATAATACTCAGATACATTTACAGTATCATTATTAGGATTAAATTGCATTTGTAACCATTGCTTCAATGAAATTAGAGTATTAGATAGGCAAGTTTTTATAATTTGAGTAATCAAGATACTTTTCAACATACTTCCAAAATTCAGCATAGCATTTAGATCTACCTTTATTGAAATTACGTAAATCAACTACCACTTTGTCATCTCTATTAATAAGTAATTGTTTCATACATAACATTATTTGTTTTTCTGTTATATTAGTAGCTGAGCTAGAATCACCAGTTAGATCTTGATATAAGATATACGCTTAATGATAGTTGGTTGGTATACCTAAAATTAAGTCAGCTTTGTATTAGAATTACTTACATATAAATCAATTATAATAAGTTAGCATTTCACTTTTTAGATGATTACAAATTGTATAGGATTTACTTGTTATTTCTTCATTATTTAAACTTTCATTAAACGCCACAGAAAACATGCATGAAATGCATTATTATCAGATAAATAGTGAAAAATACCAAATTTTTGACAAACATTTTTAAGCAAGTTGTGAATAATTGTGTATTTTTGCTAAATGATATATTTATAGTAACAGTTAGTATAATTAATCTTAAATAATTTTAAAATAATACTTTTCGCATTATTTATCTTAGTTCTAAAGGTGTAAATGGTTCAATATCTATTACTTTCCAGTAAGATAAAGTAGATAGCTTATACTTTTGTTTAGTATAAGTGTTTAGAAAAATTGAATTCTATCATAAACTTTTACACTAACTAAATCATTTATTGATTTAATTGGAATTTCTAGTTGATGATTCTCATTTATTTTAATATTTTGTATATTTAAATATATGGAATATTTATTTAAACATTTTCTCCTACAGAATAAATCAAAGTAAATTGAGAGTTATTCATCCATAACGCATTTAAATGTTCAAAAAGTAAATTTGTATATTAATTTAAACAATCATAATCAAAATTTAGCCTAGAACTCTTATAGCTTGATGGATCTGATTTATTAAAAAATTCTTCAAACTCTTTAGGAGGATTTATTGCCTTTCTTTTATTTTTTCAACATCACATGTATCTATATATCATATAGAATTTAGTAAATTATTTATAAAAGATTTTTCTATTAAATCTACAATGAGTCTTTTTTTTTTAATTTCTACTGTGAACGAATAAAATATGATAGGACCTACGTGGCGCAGATGATCGACAAATCTGACAAATCTGACATATAGGACAT